CAATGCCCGATAAAATACACTCGGCAAAGCCTCCGGCACTGGGCAAAGTGCTGGTTTCTGGTAGTGCCTTGACCTGACGGGGTCCCTCCCATGCGAGTGAAAGCTCTAAGTTTGATTCTGGTAATTAAATGACAACTAATTGATTAATGCTTTTAAATACTAGGCTTCCAAGCAGGACCAAAGAGCCATTGTCACCATTTACAAGACCCTAAATACTCGTTTCCTTTGATGATCAAAAGGCAAGCGAAGGCCCAACAAAAGCGCAAAGCTACAGTCTCTGTCTCTTCTCGCTCTCGTGACTCTTCACTTGGTGATCGCGCAGCTTTCGTATCCAATATTCGCAGTCCACTGAATCTCGGGCCGGCAACCGCGCCAGCTAACGTACACCGGCTGAGTTTCTCTCGGGTTTTCTGACGAAGGCACTGAAAAGATGATACATCAGATTCAGTTAGTTGATTGATGGTCTCTAAAGACTAAAAGGAGGTTTCTCAAACTTTTCACCTTGATACAATCTCGCACATTGGATTACTTCATGTTATTGCACTTTGCATCTTCCGATTACTAATAATGCAGGCTTTTCAATAGACGTTTAATTGTATCCGTCAATGGCCGAATACTATAACGGTGGCATGCAACTGAGTTTAATTCCTTTCTCCCGTGAAGGACTCTGAGCCAAGATTTAGAAAATTTCGAGCAAGAAAATTTCGCACAGCCATTTCGAAACCAATTTCCACCAACTACCGTCGGGAACGAGATGTTTTCTTCTCATCAAAGCCATTGGTTTTCATCACCCGAAAAGGGAGAGCTGCACTGTTTCATCTCGCCACTTCAGTTTGAGCTCAACCTCTCCACTGTTAGAAATAATGGCAATTTAGTGACGCACCGAATTTGAGGAAAAGAGCAATAGCATGTATCCTAGGTGTGTGCAGTAACACTAGCACTATAATCCGAGATAAATTCAAAGTCCTGTAGTGCTAGTAACAGACGAAATACTAGAACGAACAACAGAGAAAGTATAGACATTCTTATAGTGGGGTTGTCGGCGCTAGAGATAGCGTAAATGTAGACGAAAAGCAGACCGTCGATGGAGATCCACAAAACACCGACGTAGAGGAAAGAAGACGTTTAGTGAGCAATCGCGACGGCGCTTCCCAAAAACTTGATACGCCCCCTACCCTATGCAGGGACACGAGGATACGTAGGCTTCGGAGACCTGCTTTCCCTACGCAGATAACACATCGACGATGGGATGGGAAGACGGTGGCACCACAGCACAGTGGTAAAAGGAGAAGATGAATTACGTATACTGAGGACAACGTCTCGTCCCAATATATATACGCGCGTCGCAGCCAAGGAAAGTAATAATTAGCCACACAGTCACAACATTAAGTTGATTGAGACAGCTCAACTAGATGGAGACAACTAAACTATTTAAGTTGGTCTCACTCCTCTCCCCAATAGCTTGAACTAGATGGAGACAACTAAAATATTTAAGTTGGCCTCACTCCAATAGTAACAATGTGGAGGACTAAAGTCCTTCACCATACCATGCATGTGTGAATAGGCATTTGAGATTTATTTAGAATTATTATTTGGGCTAGCCCATATCTTCTAACATCCACTTTACCATGATTTATCTAACAGCTCCAAATTCAGAATATTTCTCCTTTATTGATATTTGGATTTCAAGATAGGTCCCGCACGCATCATTTCTCTAAGAGAAATTCAAACGGGTAAAATAAAATAGGCTCCTCCTTTATTGATATTTGAGAGCATATTTTCTATGCTGTTTTGCCAAAGACGGCTACAACTCCACCCATAGATGTTCATGGAGCTGAAGCCTTAAAAAAGAGCTTCATGGGTGAAGTGGAGCCGTGCCAAACGGGACCTTACTATGCTACAAGCCGCAGTCTTCACTTGCAAATTTCTTTATGGTGAGGAGATTTTGAGTGGGGCACTTGTGCAAAGAGAAGCCGAGAAGGTGTAGAGGGTAGAGGGAGAGAGGATCCAGGGTCCTTTGCTGGGATCAGAAAAGGGGAGGGACGGTGTCAATAAAAAAGTGGGCTTGATCTAAGGTGGGTCGTGTCCTAAAAAGAAGAGATGATTTTTATAGGTATTCCTTTGAAGTTAATATTGAGTTTGGAACTGATTTTAGAAAATCCTCGTGGATTATAGAAGGCAAGGGACACTAGGAAGCTAGGAGCCATTTCAATCGCTTTTAGTTTTTTCTTCAAATTTTGGTTTTTTTTAGTAAAACTTTTTATTTTTGGTTTGAAGAAAATAGGATTTTAAAATTTAGGAAAAAAATCCAGAAAATAAGGTTGTGTCTGTTTTGGCAAAAGCATCGGATGCTGCATAATATGCCCATTGGCTTGGACTGTACTCCTCTTCTGGTATAGCTTGGCAGATTTATCACCCTCTATGGGCAGTCCTCTCCAGCTATCCTTTTCTTACGATGATGTTATTATTGAGTTCCATAGCTTCTCTATCCACTTTAAGTAAACCTGAACAGGCAACAATGCCACAATTTGTCCTTTTGTTGTAAGATGATTAATCAGTTAAGTTGAATTATCTTTCTTGCCTGCTAACAGGGTAGTCGATCCTTAGACAGCTTCTTCACAGTGCGGAATTGCTGACCCGTTTCCTTACTAGTTCAGCGATTTCTAAACATGGGGCATTGGGGCCTACCTTGTCACCATCTACAGCTTGTCATATTCCCAGGAGATATCAAAATTGGTAGCTGTGGTTGGTGGCAGGAAAACTGGTAGCTGTGGGTGATGGCAGGCTGTTCTTTGGCAAACTTCCTCGAACCAGGGTTATGGGACATGATGTTGGGGGATCGATTGCATGCTGCAGATGGAAAACAGCAAACAGGATGAAAGAGAAATAATTTTCTTATTGCTTGATTTTGACACTGACATCAAGGACATCGAGCTAACCAATCCTATCTTGTTCCATACTTGAATCTCTTATGACGACAGAGAGAGAGAGGATCAAACCTGATCCTGGTACGCAGGACCAGGGCAGGCTCCTTGACGCACCACCACCTATGCTGTGTTATGGGCCACGTTGGGACCTCCTGTGATACCGCCTCCGGTCGATATTAATTGATGTTTCAGATAGCCAAGCTGGTCAGCAATTAGTTCAAGTAATAACAGCCAGAGGGAGTACTTATGTCCCACATGGTTTTCAAGATGTTGATCACGTCCTCAAATCATCAGTTCAATATAGCATATATTGATGTGCACAGCGGATGCACACGACTGCACCACAGCAAGTTATTCTAAAACTGTCTAAACCAAATCATACATAAGTGTAATTTATTCAAGCTGAATCCATAGGAACTAAGAGAGATGGGCTAAAGAATTGGCAGGGCACCATAATTTATTTATTTTCTTGAATACACAGGGGAGCTGTGTATCATTGCATTAACATAACACCACACCCACACACTCAAGCACACCCACTCAATATTCTTGATGATATCTGTATCTTAACTGAACTCTCAAGGATAAACCGTCGACGTGGATTCCTTCTATGTCTAGCTGAAGATTTTTTTTGGTTTGTTTTTATTTCTTATACGTACTGTTCCAATCTATGCTAGAAATTTAATTGACAAGTATAATATTGCCTGTTTATCAGTCAGCATGCAGGGCTGCAGCAGATCACTGTAGAAAGAATGGGAAAAGTACCAAGAAGCTAGCAATGCAGTACAGCTTGATGAATAATGAAATCTCGTCAGTTCTTGTTGGAATGAACTCTTCAAAACATCACTGTAGAAAGAATGCTTGATGAAAGTATCTTAACAAACTCATTAGCAATGCAGGGCTGCAGCAGATCACTGTAGAAAGAATGGGAAAAGTACCAAGAAGCTAGCAATGCAGTACAGCTTGATGAATAATGAAATCTCGTCAGTTCTTGTTGGAATGAACTCTTCAAAACAGGTACACTGTTTTTTTTTTTTTGAACTTTTCCCTTCTATTCAGCATACTCATATTGCTTGATGAATAAGGTATCTTAACAAACTCATTAGCTGCTAGAGCATATTCTATTCTGGTTAGTTTTATGAAACATTGTTATCTAACTTTCTGTGTCACCAAGGCCACCAGTGGGGTTTCACAATCTTATTTAAAGATTGCTGAGTCACCATGGAGAATCATTTAGTTTGCTTGTTGGGACAGAAGTTTAGGATGGCAATGTAGTGATTTCTGGTATAACGTCTTGTGTTTCCGTGATACAAGATGGAGGAGAATGTGGCTGCTGCACTGGAGTTGTCAACATCAGGCATTGATGAAGAACTTCTGTGTGAAGTTGAAGCAATTCTTGAGCCTGTGAAGAACCTGACATGGCCTAGCGGCATCCAACAAGCCTGATGGCCAAAAGCTGCTTGCCTGATTTGAGAAGCTAGTGTGATGGACGTATCACTGCTGTTGATTCGGTCAATTGTGCACGTTAGCATCATTGACTGCTGATTGGGAATTTGCAATGCCGTATGGTTATTGATGAAAGGGAACGATTGGGAGGGTTGGGCTTTTATGGTTGGGTCCTGTGGTAATTTAGACACGTCGAATGAAGGCGACACGAGCAATAAAAGATCGATGCTGATCACAGAATAAGCCTTTCTCATTCTGGGGTGGAGTAACACTTGTTAATAATTTGGTTGCGCACACTCTTACAGCGAAACAAGATGCTGCTGAAATGCTGAATTATGCACCAAACATGGATTTCTTCTTTCATTTACCTGTTCTCATGAGTATCAGTGTAAACTTATGCGGTTTACCTGTCGACACAATGTTTTGTCAGTTCATACCAAAACTCCCCTAAAGTATTTATACAGCAAAATATTGCTAGGTATACTAAAATATATTTTTCCTATTGACTGATGAAAATTGGAACACGTCTAAACCTGCCATCTAAAACATTCAGAACCTCGAAGAGCAACCCAAGATTGTGATGATGAGAAGGAAGCGTCAACTATCAGGAGTTGGAAGAAGTGTGAGCTAGGAGTCCTTCACTGCTCGGCAATGGTCGCCGAGGCCAACGGCCCCCTCTACAGCCGATATGATCTTTGGTACCGACATGCCGCCTGAAAGAACAATTTCTGCAACAAAATTCCCCATTCAGATCAAGAAAACAATTTCTGCAACAAATTCCGCATTCACACCAAGAAACTCGTAGGCAACAAGGAGAGAAAGACCGGTGATGCATGCTGCCGCTAATTACCGATGGCCTCCCGGACGGAGAGGTCCGGGATGATGACGTCGGCGCGGCTCATGAGGAAGATGTCCCCAAGGTAGAGGTTGTTGGTGGGCACGTAGACGCAGGCAAAGTCCAGATGGTCGCCGCGCACGCCGGCGCCTCGCAGCGCCACCGTCGACGTGATGAAGCCCAGCGCGTACTCGCCAATCCTGGGGTGCCGGATGATCACCACCTCCTTGAAGGCTCTTGAGCTCTGGTCTGAAACCATCAAGACGATTAGACGAATTGGCGTGTCGTCAGCGTGTGCATATGTCATAATTTGATTTGATACCTAACCTGGCGATATTGCGGCGCTGATCTGCTTGGAAGCCGAGTAGATGTGGCGCACTAGCGGCATCCTCTTGATGAAGAACTCGCCGAGGCCGAGGAGCGAGGCGCCCAGCCACGACGACATGAACACGCCGACGAGGAAGATGAAGGTGATGGAGGTGACAAACCCGAGACCTGCACAGAGATGAAACGTATTCTTGCATCATCAATAATAGCAGAGAACGCTGACGCGCGCGACCGATCATAATCCATTTCTTATCGCAGCATCGATCTCTCAGATTGGATCGACGTGATTAATTACCGAAGAGATGTATCCCGAGATGGACGTAGATGGGCGAGAAGAAGCCGTCGACGAAGCGGATGAACCACCATGTCGTGTAGAAGGTGATGTCGATCGGGAGCAGGATGACACTGCATGCGACAGAGTGCGGAGCACAGGCTCAGGGATGACGTGCAAATGCGAACTACAGTATATTCATACGAGGTGCGCAGCATCCAGACATAAACTTCTTCCATGCCCAGCTCCGTATCACTCTCGAAAACGCCTGCACACAAATAAACGGCAACACTTGAACCAATTATCCTCTGTCTGAAACCGCGTGTGTATGAGAAAAATCTCTCCTATTTAAAACGGGCTGCCATTAACCAGGTTTCAACAAAATTCCTACGTTCCAGATTCACGAAGCTCATGCATGCATCTCGCCTTGCCGAATGCTCATACCACACGCATGCACCATGGAAAAACGAACAGGAGCTAGCAGGCGCTGCGAACGACAGAAGCGGATCTGTCACCTCGATGCCGGTGGGATGGTGGTGAAGGTGGAGCACGCGCGCTGACGTCGTGGGCGGCGGCGGCCCGGCGATGATGACGGGAGTGGTCGGCTCCGAGTCGTCCTCGTCGCCGGCAACATGCTCGCCGGCCACCACCGGGAGGAGCAGCTCCCGGTCCCTCTCCCTGCCGGCCATCGCGCTCCCCGATAGATCCTGCAGTACGTACGTGTCTCGCGCCCTGCCAGTGAGCGTGACGTGGCCCAACCGCACTATTTTTGCGCGCCCACCAAGTGCCGACGCAAACGTCGGATCGGGCACCGCTAGTGGAGCTGGTGAAATTGCTGCTGCCTCAGTGCCTCCCTCGAAAGAAATCGCCACGTGTGATCGCCAGGGCCTACCTTGCATGAAAGTGCTGACTCTGGTGTTTTTTTATAAAGAAAATATTTTATTAATTCACGGTCATTGCAGCCTAAAAACAAACAAGAGCATGATATTCTAATGATTATATTAATTCTAAGATAGAACGACATCTATGTGTCCAAGAGAAAACCACCATAACTGCCTACGCCAATGTTCCGATGCCAATACTCCATCCGTCTAAAAGAGTGTCGTTTTTTATTTTCAGATATCTTGTTTGACCATCCATCTTATTCAATTTTTTTATAAATATCATCTATTTTTTTATGACTTATTATATCATAAGAGATACTTTAATAATGATTTATTTATTTTATAATTTACATAAAATTTTTGAATAAGACGAACCGTCAAAGACGATGTCTAAAAGTTAAAAACGTCACTCTTTTTTGGGACGGAGCGAGTATGTCATTGCAACCAAAGTTTTTTTGTGACCGTACCATGGGGCACGAAAAGGTACAAGAACTCGCAAGTAATCCTATGATTACCGCATCGTTCACACACAATGAGCAGCAAGAAAAAAAAAGGTAAAAAAGACACAGCCTCAACACAACAGCACACTGAAACCTGTGACAAAAAGACATCAAGGCAATGGTAGCCTACAAAGCAGTGGAACCGTAGACCCAGAGAAGACGGGACGAGCTTCCAGCAGTAGTGGCGGCAACACATCTGCCAAACAAGACCAGAACAACCTCAGCAGCAAAGCATCCGCCAAGAAAGTTGGCGCGAAGATGGTGGCAAAGTATCTACCAGAGAATAGCGGTGGCCAAGTATCCGTCGAAGACGAAATGCACAATGGTAGCGACAAAGTATCTGCTACAAAGCTGAATCACAGGGCCAAACATCCGCCGAAGAAGTTGAAGTGGTAAAGTATCCGTAAGTGGAGGGGCCAATACGCACCCAGTAGCAAAGCATCTGCCAAAGAGGGGAGGCCAAAGCGACGTTGGCGGCAAAGCATCCGCTCGAGCAACAACGATGGCAAAGCATTCGCCAAAGAAGAGTGATAGAGGCAAAGTATCCACTACCAAAAAATCAAACGATTGCAGCAACATCAAGTTACAGACCACTGCAAAGAGGAGCGCGCTTGAAGCACACACAGGCACAACACAATAAGGGACAACTCAAGCGAGAGAAGCGGAAGATGGGGCAGAGGCACGACAATAGGAGTGCTCCAACAAAGCCTTCAAAAAGGGGAGTGACATTTGTAGACGCCACCAATGCTGGAAAGAAGCACTCAAGAAGGACTTTCGCCCCAAGACTTGCCCCATCGGCTTGCATGATGAACGGAATCTTCGACGACGCCTCCAAGAAGGTAGATGATGCAGGCTGCGTCGCCGTCGCCGGCCCAGAGCAAGAAGATGGACAAGGTTTTCACCCAAAGTCTATTCGTCCACAGACGCTGGTACACGACACAGCCACACGTGGCACTTGGAGCGCAGGCTCCAAGTAGCCAAGTGCGCTAGCACATCCACGCAGGGCCCAAGCCGTCAAGGAGAACAGCATGGACACGACCACACCGCATCGAGGCCTAGACGACCACGTCGCCGCGCCATGACCACCGCAGCCACCACGGAGCTAGAGCAGCCTCCCGCACACAGCTTAGAGACCACCACAGACCCCAGCCGCCAAGCACAGGGGAAAGCACGCCAGCTGAGGAGGGCATCGTGGGGTGAAAGCTGCTGGCCACCCAGATCCAGCACCGGGAGGACCGGATCCGAGCGAGGATGTCCCAGAATTGCCGTCTCCATGGCCATGACAACCAGTGCCAAGTGCAGATTGCCGAGCTATGCCACCCATAGCAGCTTCCGCAGCGTGGCAGAAGCAACAGAGGTGTCCTAGCTGGTGGCCGTCAACCTCGACATGCTGAGACACGGCAGCCACTGCATGCTAGAAGGTCGGGCTCCAGTGCGCCCACCGCCCCCGCATGTCCCGTAGCATGCGTGCACAAGATGCCTTCGTGCCGCCGCTCGGGAGCCCAGCAAGGCGCCACTAGGGCCTAAAGCCACCAAACTAGCAAATCCGGGCCGAGGGAAACATTCTCAGCCTGTTCGCTTGCTCGTAAACGATCGTAAATTTCTAGCCGGGAACAGTGTTTTTCACACCAGCCCGAGTAAATAATCCATGGATCCTATCCCTCCACCAGGCCGTCGGAGGAGAGAGAGCCGCTATCGAGGAGCTCACGACCAGAGAGCTGCTCCTCACCGAGCAGAGCTGGGGAAGGGGGGAAAAGGGAAGAAAGCCCCGCCGCCGCCCTCCTTGCGACTGCTGCCGCCCTTCGGCGACAGTGAGGGAGAGGGTGCAGGGAAAATGTCTTGTGGTAGGAGCCGGCGGAGTTCTACCCGAGCCGCCCGATAGGAGCGACATGAAAGCTGAAAGAACCAAAGCCTATGAAATAAGCTTATGAAGAACAACCTATGTGCGGAGCCAATGGATACCGTCTCTGTGTTTGGTTTGAGAAACATCATATCTTCAATTGGGTTATACATCGCCTAGTAAGTTTACACTGCACCACAACATCAATATAGCATGACATGTATGATGTCGCTATAAGTTCATTATTACCGATCAAGAGTCGACAATTGTAATTTTTCAGTTAGTTAAGTATTTACGTTATTTACTTACAGTCAGTTAATTTTGGGGCTGTGGTGTAGTGTTATACTGTATAATGAATTTTGGTGCTATTGTGTCTTCCATTCCACTTCTCCTTAGTTAAGATTTGATGTCATGGTACTTATCAAACATAAGATCTGTGCCATTTGTGTCTTCCACTTCCCCTTGGCTTAAGAATTGTATCTTCACAAGGCGATGATCCTTCAAGGCATAGGATTAGTGTTTGGCAGAAAAATATATATGTTGAAAACCATGGTGATCTTGCATTAACACTAGCTACTGGAGACCAATTAATGGAACATAAAAATGCAACAATGCCAGCCATGTCTCAAGGAACATATCCAGCAACATGATCACCCAACACAAGGTGTGCAAATTAATTCAACAAAACGTGTTCAGCGATCAACACATGCGCTGATGTTATTATCATCACACTCTGTTTCATACAAGATGCACAATCGGAGACCATAAATAAGAAGTAGCAAACATTCAAAAGAGTCATAGAAATAAGTCATATAGCCATTACATAGGCAATTCAGGTAACGAAACAACACTTTATCATGTATACGATAGACATACTCAGCGATGCGATCATATCCATAGTTTGTAGTAGCCGCTTATCCATGTACGGATCAACAAGATCAGGGATATGTGCCCCTATTCATATTAATAAGCTACATATGCAATCCTGGGGCACCACCCTTATCTTGAAGCTTGTCTATCATATGAGTGTTATGAACTCCCCACCGGTTGCCATGCGGGTGGCATGTGCCACTGCTCTATCCGATGGAGTGATGTACAACATCATGTTTGCCCAGAATACGGCGAGCACCCTCCACCGTTCCTTGATGATGTCAAGCCTATCGATGAGGTAGAAAGCGATCCTCGAGCCCTCATCCAAAAAATGGACCTCGTAGTTTTTAGAATCTGAACTCCCTAACTCGATCAATTTATCATACTTGTCCTTGTTGGATTTGCAGTCAGCAAGGTACTCACGGGCGTTCTACAGCGTGTCGCGGGCCAACGACAAGCTTGTGTAAGTGCTGTCCGGAACCAGATCCGGTTGGAAGGCCAGCAGATACGCGCAGTACCCAGATAGCTTAGTGGCGATTCCATGATTCTTCATGAGCTCTTCTCTACTAGGATCATCCATGCATGACAAATCCATGTTGTCGTAGTCGTAGTCGCATATGCTTGTGGCTATGTGCCATGTTAAGATGTAGCGGGCATATGTGTGACCAAGCATGCATTTACGATCGAGGTATAGGTCCAGTGTGACCCCCAGTGCTGGAAGATACGAGCCCCCAAACCCTAGCCCCCGACTCCTCTAGCCCCCTGCCCACCACCACCGCCGGGGCGTAGGCGCCTACCACCCTCTCGCCTCCCCTCTCTCCCCTCCCTACCTCCCGCTCCTTTTCCCCACCCCCACGGCGCGCAAGCATAGGTGTGCCACCACCGCCTCCATCCACATCGATCTCCCGGCCTGCGTCGTCTGATGCCTCTCCGTCGTCGTTGGCCGCCTCCCAAGCGCCACCCAAGCCGGATCCCGCCACCAAGGACGTTGTAGACGACCTACCTGACTATTGCCTCCTCACCAGCGCCGACACCGTCTCCCAGTCGTGTGCGGCTAGTGAACTCGAGCCGCTGCCGACGGATGGCCATCCTCAGGCTCACCCACCATCGGCAGCCAACCCCTGCCACCTAGGCCCGCCCGCGCCGCCATCAACGGCGGGGGCCATCAACGAACCCGCACCCACCGGATCTGGCGCTAGGATGCCCCCCGTGGGCTCCGTCAGGGGCCACGCCACCGCTGTCGTCGGGCGCAGCTGCCGTGGCCGACATCGAGGCCACCCCCGCTGAATCCAACATTGAGGCGGCTCCGCGGGCTCCATCAATGCCCTCGCCGCCGACAACGGAGCTTGCCTCCCCGCCACCACCGGATGCTGCCCTAGGCGCTCGTGGACGCCCATGGCACTCGCGGGCCAGCCCTCTAGCCGAAGCCGAGCGAGCCCCCGATGCTGCCGCCAGCCACCATGGCGGCTACTGCTTCATCCTCGTCGACGGCCGGTGCGAGTTGGCCGCCGTGACCGACCTGCACGTGGATCTAATGCTCGGCTGCTCAGCCATGCCTCTAGGTGGCCTCGACTTCGTCGGAAGCTCCTTCACCC